GCTTACAGCTGACAACACTGGCTTGGATAGCAACCAACAATTCTTCCCCTGAAGCAGCATCACACACTGGCCACCATAATGCAATAGCACTATACACAGGTAATTTTGTCATTCACACACAAATTACTGGAACATTCTAATGAGATAAACCTCTCTGGTGCTCTCCTTGTTTGTGTCTCCCAGCTTGCCAAAGAGCAGGCCAGATCTTTTGCAAATGAAGCTATTTTTGATGGCTCAGCTGCGTAAACTGGTAAAACATACCATTCTGGTTACGAAGTGCAATCTCTCAGAGGCTTCTTGATATCACTTCAAAACATAAGTGCTGCATAACCTGAATAATAGGCAGATATTTCTGACTCATTTATACATATATATATATATATATTTTTTATTTTTTTTTTTTTTTTAAACCCACATATATTTCTGGGGGGAGTGAAAGCAAGACCTGGTGAATTGATGAAGTCCATGTCAGCTGCAATGTTAGGACAATGAAAACATCTCAAAGGACGAATTAAATATGTTGTAGGATCATGTCTACATCTCTTTTCCTTTTTCTGCTTGTGCTGGAACAGGTTAGTAGTATTTATTATATCCTGTAGATTTATATACAGAAACAAAATATCATTTTAGTGGGAATTAATGCCATGCAAAGTATAATTTAGGAGTAAGATTTTTTTTGGTCCATTGTGATAATTTATTACAAGCAACTTTACAGTAACTGTTTTCAGACACTAAATTGCTTGATTGGCACAAAAGTATCAAAACCTGCAGCTTCTGCATCCACAGAACATACATGTTTACGGTTGGACTTGATGATCTTAAAGGCCTTTTCAAAACAAAATGACTCTATGATTCTATGAAGATATGGAAAGTAAAGGTGAAACTTACTTTGCATGTGATGTTGGACTTACTAGTGATACACTGGCATTATAAGGAATAAGCACAATTTCATATATATGGAGACCACTATACTCCCAGAATGATTTAACAGCTGAAATCAGGCCTCAAAACTGTAACTTGCTACCATATAAGAGCATATCATAGAATCACAGAATTATAGAATGGTATAGGCTGGAAAGGACTTTAAAGATCATCCCATGAGCAGGGACACCTTCCACTAGACCAGGTTGCTCAAAGCCTCATTCAACCTGGCCTTGAACACTTCCAGGGAGGGGGCATCCACAGCTTCTCTGGGCAGAGAAGAATAATTAAGAATAACTTCTAATAGTTCGCCATTGTCCCATTTTGTGATTATAATCAAGTACTGACTCTAGGTAACAAATCCTGAAATTGGCAGAAATAACTCCACTTCCAAATAGCACTTATCAATCAAGAAAAGGCAATGAAAAAATCTAGGTAGATTGTGCAAGAATTTGGAGAGCACATGCACACACAAACATCTACATTTTACAGTGTGTACACCCTTTTCTGCACAGTGGGTCATGGGTTTAACGCGATTAAAAATCCTGCTGAGGAATCCCAACATTAAACTTCCACAATTGCTTTCAAACACATTGAAAATCTTTGTTGGCGTAAAACCTACACACAGAACCAGCAGAGTTACCTCATCACAAAACCTCTCTTCATTATGCCAATGTTTTTATCATATGAAAAACAGCCTGACATGAGAAATAGTGACATCTCGGTGAGACAAGACGAAGTAAGGCAAACTGCAGGTCTTTGATCTGGCTGAAAGTGCTCTGCATTCTGATC